GAAGACTGTTAGTGAACAGGTTTGAGGGAAAGATGTGGGTGGACGGGTTAAAATTTTACTACTTCTAAGTGGAAAAGAACAATACTTTTCTTAGTATATTAGAAAGAGGTCTTCTAATTCTTAAGCATTGCTGCATGTTCCAAGGCCAGGAAGGGCCATTTTAGGAGCAACTCTTTGGATCGCCAACGTCATAGCAACAGCAGAGGTTAAAGGAAATGTTTAGATTTGTTCCTTTCCAGCTTCAGTGGGATCCTCAGGGCAGTCCGGTTTTTCTGGCTTCGCCACTGTGGTTTCAGGGCTCCAGAGGCTCTACCACGTAAAGGAGAAACCACCGTGCTTGCTTCCCTTCCCGCTTTCCACAACTGGTCACAAAGAACCACCTTGGGCTTGGCTGATGGGCTTCTGGAAGCTGAGTGCACGGAGGCCCCTGCCAGTTTTAGATTTAATCCTTCCCGTGGCCATACACTTCAGAGACGCAGCACGTGGGAAAAGAAAAACTGCCTGGTCAAGTTGGTCAGCCTGTGGGTCTCTGATGACAGACATCTGGGCTAATACCTTGTGAACTTGAACCCAAATTGAGTGTTGAGGAAAAGCAGTGTATTCCTTAATAATCCTTAACATCCCAGAACAAACATTCGTATAAAAGGGTTATTTTATGTTGCCAACCTCCCACTCACTCATCCCCACCTGGAGCTCGCTACATTCACCCACCCACACCCCCGTCCCCTGCGTCCGAATCAGCTTTTGGGGAAGGTTTAGAATAGAGCTAAAGTAATACAAATTAATCACATACACAAAAGCTCATGTCTTCTGGGTTCAACCTTTCCTTGGGCCAGTGTTCCTGGGAGGGAGGAGGTCCTCCCACCAATAGTCCTTTTGCAGGTCCTCCACCCCACAGCTCAGCACCGCAACCTTATGTTGGACAGACACTGCCCTTCCGGCACAAAGGGCTTTTCAAATTGTGAGCAACTGTAGGGCTTATGGCAGAACAAAGTTGACGTGTTTGACTTAATAAACATTTTGTGTTAAAAAATGTTGGGAGGTGTTAAAAATTTTGAGCCATAACATTATGTCATGGGTATCCAGGCTTGAGATGACATTCGGGACATGGCACCCCATGAGGTTTTCACAGTGTGGTCATCATGATGTGTTCACGGCATGGGGACAACGGCAGCCACTGTTCTGGTCTCTGCAGATCTCTTAGTCATGACATGCCTTTGGCTATGGTTTCTTCCAACTACCATTCCCACAATTCCAGGTCATTTCCTCCAGGGCATCCATCAGTCCTTGGTGGACTGCTGCTGTCCAGCCTCTGTTTAGTCACTCCCTCCCTCAAAGTGCTTGCTTGTCTCCAGCACTCTGGTGCCTGTCAATACTGACTTGTAAACCTCCACTTTTGTGACCCATCAGGCCTTTTCCCTTGGAGAATGTTCATCAGATGTCACGGATGAAAATGGTTCATCAGGAACACAAGGCAGGAAGAAAGACCCCTGTGGGGTACACAAGCAGATGGAGGGGCCCACCCTCTGTAGGGAGGGTATAAAGGCCCACCATGACCTTGTGGGCAAGAGTATATGGGATGGAAAGTTCCTTAGTTTCAAGATCCCCGGAAGCACCCTGCAACAAGGAGTGAAGTGCAAGTAGTTCATTTGGTAGATGATTGCAGGACACCCAGGGAGTTGAGAAGGGCATAGGGAAGGGGGAAAAGCGAATACAAGGTGTATTAATAAGTCAGCTACCACAGCAGGTTGCTAAAGCTTAATTCTGTGGGAAATCTCCCCAAAACAGTATGAAACATAAGCCTCAGAATGATCTCATCCAAGGAGCAAGGGAGCAATATTTTTTTTTAGATATGTTTTTATTGATTTCAGAGAGGAAGGGAGAGGGAGAGAGAAATATCAATGATGAGAGAAAATCATTGATCAGCTGCTTCCTGCACACCCTACAATGGGATCAAACCCACAACCCAGGCATGTGACCTTGACCGGATTCGAACCCGGGACCCTTCAGTCCACAAGCTGACACTCTATCCACTGAGCCAAATTGGCTAGGGCAAGGGAGCAATATTTTGTTGTTAATTATTACCCAAGGATATTTTTTTAAAATATATTTTTATTGATTTCAGAGAAGAAGGGAGAGGGAGAGATAGAATCATCAATGATGAGAGAGAATCATTGATCGGCTGCCTGCTGAACAACCCCACCGGGGATCAAGCCTGCAACCCAGGCATGTGCCGACCGGGAATTGAACTGTGACCTGGTACATAGTTCGACGCTCAACCACCAAGCCACACCAGCTGGGCCAAGGATAGTTTTCTATCGATTTTTAGAAAGAGTGGGAAGGAGGGAAGAAGGAAGAAACAGAGAGAGAGAGAGGGAGAGAGAGAAAGAAACATCGATGCAAGGGAGTCATATCCATCAGCTGCCTCCCGCACGCACCCCAACCCAGGAATCAAACCCGAGAGCCTTCAGTGTGATAGCCGATGCTCCAACCATTGAGCAACACCAGCTGGGAGCGAGCGATATTTTTATACACCAACCTCTATGACTGTTGAAAGCTTCTTCTTGGAAGTGCTGATTCCATAGTACTCCTGGCCTGCTGTAGCCAAAAAAATTAATGGACACAGAGGTGCAGATATTAGCCATTAAAAGTTGTCTCAGCCTCTGAAACAGACCTATAGGCCGGGACTGTGGGCTAGTCTAGGACACCTGACAAGCTGGTTTTCACTGGCTAGTACCTTCCACAGTGCTCACTGTATGAACCTATAGCCTGAAAAAGTGGATGCTGACTATACTGTCAGGACTGCGATGGATTTTCACCAAAGTTTTAGGATAAAATATATGTATTCAACAGCATTAGTGGAGCCAGCACTGGATGAAGTAGTAAGTGAGGCATTATATGACTATAGTTCTAGACAGCTTTCCATAAGGTTAGGTGAAAACTGCAGGTTATGGAACTCCATTTGAGGGTTCAATATAACCCCATTTTTGTGTTTAAAAACACATAGAAAATGTATGCATAAAGAATCTATGTGTTATTAATTGCTGTCTTTAGGGAAGTGGGGTTATGGCTTCTCTTTTTTCTTACCTATTTGCTGAATCCTTATAATAAGCATGGATTACTTTTATAATAATAGTGACCAGATTAAAAAAATATTCTGTACAATCTCAAGATTCACGAAATAATTCTAGCACTTTTCTAAATCTTCCCTTCATTCCTCCTTCACACCCTCCATGCAATGCTTCAGTCGCCTTGCTTAGCTGCAGGTAAGTGGCACGCAACATCCCCCCTCTCACACATGGGAGAAAACGAGGAATTAGGTGCAAAAGGCTTTGAGCAGCCGAGAGACGTCCCCATATCCCTGAACTAAAAACTCTTCCATTTGCTCACAGAGTAGCATTTACTGGTAGGACTTGTTTATAAGTACAGAATTCTCATGTTGATATCTGAGTTCAAGTTCACGTTTAGAAGTGGCAATTAAAAGCTGAGACAGGGCCTGCAGAGGCAGACACCCAGCAGGCAGAAGTGGCAGACCTGACAGGAGAGGACAAAGCCTGGACAAGGCTGCCACCTGCGTCGTCAGTCAGCACGGGCACCCAGGTTCCTTCTGCCTCTTCACCTGCTTCCAAACCCCAAGCAGGATCATGGCCATGACCTTGAGGGATCCAGAACAGACTTAATTATACTCAAGAGGACCACACATCCAATGTTCAGGAATTAAAAAGAAATAGAATGCAGGCATACAGTCAAGATCCTCCACATTAAAAGTGGACATCTTCAAATATAGCTTCAGAATCGTGCTACCACCAGCCAGACTAGGATAGGAGGTTATATTCTCCCTCTTCTGCTTTTTCTCCTTTGGTGTGAAATGAAGTTGATTTTCTATTTGCCAGCATCCTTTGGTTACAGTACCTGCTCTTCAATGTCTGATCTTCTAATGAAGGAACTTACACTATCCAATGTTTCTGAATATCACTTTTTTTCTCTCCCTCGTTTTACAATACTCCTTAAATTAAAAAAAAAAAAAGGCACTAGAGAATAAAGTCTTAACAACTGTTATGGGGCCATGATCCTTTGTACTGACCACTTTTTAAACTCTTCATAAGAGGCGTGTTTAACAAGCCCAAGCCTTTAAATATGAATGGAATAAAGGCAAAAGGAGATGAAAGACATGGCATTCCTGGTGAAATAGGTCAGATGATTTTCAGACTCCCAAGTGTCCTGATAGTTTTACGTGATCCAGTCCAGTTCCTGAAAAAAAAACCTGCCAACAGGTAACAGGTCTTTGAAAGCTTTTGAAGCCAAAGGCTCCCCACCAGCCAGCCCATCTCTCACTAAGTTCTCAGCCTCATTAAGAATGAGAAACAGATACCACGGCACCAACCTGTCTAGAGAACACAGCGAGACAAATGTAATTGCCTGTAAGAGGAATATAGGGCAGCGACTCCCGAATCATTCGTATTTACACCCACTCCATTTCGGTTGTCTTTCCTTTATAATTTGGCCATACATCGATGTCAAGTATATAATTTCATCTGGGGCTTATCAGTTACCGCCAGAGCCATGATTACAGGGTGCAGGAGACGCCTCCCCCTGAGCGAGGCTATCTTTAGTATCTTCTTGATAGCCACTTCTTACATAGAAAATCAAAAGGAAAGTCGGTTTTCTTATGTGGCTCCAGAATCACTAAATATAACATTTAGGAGCAATTTATCGACTGTAACCGCTGGGTTTTCAACTGCCACTACCGTTTTTCAAAGTGCTCTTATTCCTTTTTTGTGTGATTTTTATCAAGTTGGAACAGAAATTTCAGGGAGTTCTATATTGACCATTCAATCATGTACTAAGTTCAACTTTCACCTTGCTAGTGCCCCACCCAACTTATTGTACAAACATAAGCCTGGATTTTGACCAATCAGAATCCCAGCAAGAAGGCTACCAGTATGATTTTTGGAAGAAGTAACGTTTCACAAACAAAATAAAAAAATGGCTCACCGATCTAGGATTCAAAAGATAATTTATTAGTCTGAGGAGTCACACACTATACCCAGTAATGTGCATCTTTTATTTTTGTGCCTTTACCTTAAAAATATATTTAAACAAGAAACAAAGATAATATTGAATTTTCCCATAAATTTTGCTTTCTTATTTACAGTGTTACATTGTAAATAACATTTCATTATACACAAATTAAGGATTGCATTACCGTATGGTTTCTTTATATATCCTTTCATAATACAGTACACACAGCTCGAAGCTATTACGTTTAGAAAGGCTTGAGGGAAGAAGTACAAACTTTGTCAATAAGACTATTATTTTAAAAGGTTCTGACCTTGATTCTCTGCTAGATTGTTTCACTGAAACCATTCTTTGTTAAAGAAAAATGCCCCGTATGAGGGATGAGAATAACAGTTTAAGTCACCACAGGATCCACTTAAACTGGTTAACAAATAAAAACACTTTATCACTTATTACTGTTACTAAATGGAGCACTACCACTGTCAAGTCATTTAAACAAGCAGATTTACCCTTCAATTCAGACACATTACATCGACGACAGTTGGTACCTCTTTACGAAATAAAAAATGTTTCCTGCAACTTTAGGTTTGACTTGTAAACAGTTAAAGCACACATTTTGTAAAGATGATTGACTCATTCCTGGTCTTAGGTTATGCAATATGGGGGAGTTTCTATTTCATCAGGGAGAAGCAAGCACTCACGCTGCACACACACACACACACACACACATGCACACGCACACACGCACACACTCGTGCACTCAGCCCACCCGCCCACCAAAGGCCGGCGTGCCACTAGCACTCACTGTGGCAGCACTAGTGTCGCCAGCGGTGTGCGAGGCTGCAATAGGAGTTATAAAATGAAGACGATGGGACAGGACATCCAACTTCTGTTAAAAATAAGGAAAGCTCAGGTTCTGAAATGCCCTCAGGTGCTTCATGCTCAGCTTGAAGGTTCAGTTCACTGGGCTCTGCAAGCGGCACACGCCACCTTCGATGGCCACGGACTGTCCTGCCACCGCACCGGGAGGGAGTCTGGAAATGTGAGTCTGCAAAGAGGGAGACAGGAGAACATTAGAGGTGCCGGCTGTGTCCCCCCAGGTGTGACAGGTGGAGGCAAGACCAGAGCCTCACGGCTCCTTTTTGCCTCTGGGCACCCGCAGACAGTGGTGGTGGGAACCTTAGGTGCCCAGATCCTGCTTGTCCAGGCCGCTCAGGGCACATGTACTGAATATCCCCGTGAGCCAAGCACAGCACTAGCCACTGGAGTTTCAGAGCGGGCAGCCAGCCAAGGCCCCGACAGCACAGAACTTACAGTGTAGTCAGTCTGTACACAGAGTAGCAGAGTGCTTTTATTGTGGACACTATTACAGATGTCCCCCATTTTTTTTTAATCCTCATCCAAGAATATTCTTTCCACTGATTTTCAGAGAGAGTGGAAGAGAGAGGGAAGGACAGAGAGAAACATCGATGTGAGAGAGACACATTGATTGGTTGCCTCCTGCTAGAGCCCCGACCGGGGAGGGTCCTGCAACTGAGGTACATGCCCTTGACCGAAGGGTCCCAGGTCGACACTCTATCCACTGAGTCCAACTGGCTAGCGCGAGTCCCCCATTTTCTGTATTCAGAATAGCAGTGTGCTTTCATTGTTGGCACGATTACAGATGTTCCCCACATTCACCCCCTCTGTCCATCTCCACCCAGCCCCCAGTGGTTTTAATGCCAACTATCTTGGTCACATTCCAAGATATGAAATTATGAAAACTAATTATGAAAACTAATAATTTATATATATTTTGTCCTCTGAGCATTCAGAGCAACTACGAATACCTGGTTCATGTTTATACTTCCAATTTGTCCCTTAAAAGATCTGAATAGCTTACAAAAAGTCAGATAATTAAACAACCTAAAGTAAGTGAGGCAATGAGGAAAAAAAAAGAGGAGGTAACAAAGCAAGGTGAAGACTGGCATGAGGTGAACACCTAGCAGACTGCTGCCGTCCCCCAGCTTCCCAGCGGCTGCGACGGGGTGGTTCACGTGGCACACTGGATCACACAAACCATGTGCCTGGAGAACGCCTACCACTGTGGCCAGGGAGCCATGCGTTTGGTGGGGCTTCAGATATGGTAGGTGGCATGTACAGTGGATCAGCTGTACGACAGTGAGCGTGATGGGATGAGGGCTACGTTATGCAGAGGAGGCGGCCCTGAGTGAAGATGTGAGCGTCCCACGAGGGGTCAGGACAGCAGCCAGGGATCCCTTTGTAGATGGTCCTGCCTAATCCAGGGATAGATAAATGTAGGGAGTTTCTAAGAAGAACAGGGCTGCATCTCCTCTAGGTCAGCGATTCTCAATCTGTGGGTCACGACCCCTTTGGCGGTCGAACGACCCTTTCACAGAGGTCGCCTAAGACCATCCTGCATATCAAATATTTATATTACGATTCATAACAGTAGCAATATTACAGTTATGAAGTAGCAACGAAAATAATTTTATGGTTGGGTCACAACATGAGGAACTGTATTTAAAGGGCCAGGAGGTTGAGAACCACTGGTCTAGGGAATCTTCTTTAATTCTGTTTCTCTAAACAAGCTTTTCCTGAGAACTGAACTGAGGGGAGCTCAGCCCTGGGGTAGCCAAATAGGAAGCAAGCATGCACATTTGGTGGAAAAACAGGTAACATGGTTGGCTTATAGTTGAGGGTGGACACCACTCTTGAATCTCATTGTGCAAGTCCTATTAGAGTAGCTGACACCGATCAACCATTTGGAAAGTTCTGGAGAACAGGACTGTCCTTTGGGTACTTGGTTTCTGTGTGTACAAGGCAGCAGCAACCCGGAACCTTTGGGGGTGAGGTTGGTGGACTTGCGGGTGGAGAGCTGGACGAGGCAATCCTGTGGCATCTCCTGGGATGAAAGTTTCAGTGAGTTCACTCGGCAGGCTCGTGCCGCTGGGAACTAACTGTGTCCCAGCAGCTGGCCTCATTGTCACGTCGGAGGGCTAACTTGCCTCTCACTGCTTGGATATCTTAGAGCTAAGTCCATGCTGAGACTAACTGGTGAATCTTCTGCTCCTTGTGATGCTTCATTAACCTTGTGGGAGGAGCTAGAAGAGGACCTGTTTGATTCTGCCAACAGCCCTTGTCACATTAGGAACAAAAAGCTAAAATCCCATAATTCCCAGGGCTCAGTGTTGATGGGGCCATGTTTATATTTCAGGACATTGTTAACATGCAGTGAAAGAGAATTATTTGCCTAGGGATCATTCATTATTTTTTTTAAAGGTTCTCCTAAACAAAAGCTCCCTGAGAGAGTAGAAGCCCCTCAGTCCATTTCATCCCTAATGTCACCTCGTCAGTACTGAATACAGGCATGCAGCTATGACAGGGGTCAAGAATAAAGCAGAACCACTGTGGAAAACAGTATGGCAGTTCCCCAAGAAATTAAACATAGAATTATCATATGATACAACACTTCCACTTCTGAGTACAGACCCTAAACAAGTGAAAGCAGGGACTCAAAAATATATTTATACACCGGAGATTCTGAAGATGGCGGCGATATAGGCAGACGCGTCCCAGGTCGTGTCCCGGAGCAAATGGAGTGAGCAGCTGAAACTAATAACACCCACTCCGAATTGGCGAAATGCTCAGCTGGTGAGACCGTTTGCAGCCGGGAAGGGCAGAACTCCCCTGGAAAGGTAAAAAAAAAAACAGGGATTTGGGCAGGAAAGTCTGCCAGACCTCTGAGGCCAGAGGGTTGGAGGGAGACCGCGTGGCAGACAGCCGCGTCCCTTGGGACAGGCACAGCCCCTGACTAGGGAAAGGAGATCCGCGGGATTCCTGCCGCTGCCGGGGCTTTGAGAGCTGGGTTCTGTGATCACGGAGGACTGAGCCTAAAGGGGGCAGCCTGAAGAGCTGACCAGACCATGCAGTGCCGGTAAGAGAAGAGCTTACAGAAACCAAGCCTTCCCCGTTTCCGGGGCCGGCGTTTGTTTGTTTTCACTGAATCCTGTTCATAAGATAGTTCGGATACAGACACTCACCTGTGCTGAAGAGAGGGAGAGGGTGCGGAGGAGCGGAATCTGGGGAGAGACTGAGGAGAGAAGGGGGGCCGGGAGAGGTGGCAGCAAATTGAGCACTGAGACACCCCTGAGCCCAGGACTGGGGCAGCCATTCTCTCCGGAGAGTGAGACTCCACCCCCCAACCCCCAGACAAGGAGCACAGCCACACCCAGATTCCACCCTGAACGAGATCAAGGATTAAAATAATCTAATCAGTCCCTGGGACTTAACAGGGTCTGGCCTATAGAGGGATTTTCAATCCCAGCAACAACACAGAGCAGGTAACTATTAAGGAACCAGCTCTGGATAGTTGACCTCTCCAAATCAGTTTTAAATGCGATAGAGAAGCCGTATAGCCTCAGAGGCCAACCCCAGAACACTGCCACCCAGAGGCTGAGCCACAAACTGACTCTTTGCTAAACACAAAATAAGGCAGTCTGGGAAACAAATATGACCTACTTTAAAATAAGGACTGTGGTTTACAACACAGAGGAACAGTGTATCGCAGGGAAACTCAACACTCTCCTGAATACCTGGCAGGACTAAAGGTGAGCCAGACTGAAGAATAGAAGAACCGAAGGACCTTCACTACTGCAATTTTTTTTTTTCTTTTTTCAACTAAGAAACCAATTTTTTTTCTTTTTTTTTCTTTTTTTTCCATCACCTGATTTTACCCTTTTAATTACTACCTTCTTATTTTTAACCAGTATTATTACTGCTACCATTTTACCATTTTTTAAAGTGCCATTTTATTTTTTCTTTATTTTATTTTGGGATTAGTGTCCTCCATTCTATTTTCATCGTTATATTATTAGTTTTTTCTAGTTTGCATCCATCTCCAGGGAGCTGTTGCTGGAATTTGTTGGGATTAGTGGCGGTTCTATAGGAGTATTCTCCACATATAAAAAGTCTCTTCCCCTCTTCCACTTCATTCTCTCTTTTCGCTTTTTTTTTCTTTTCTTTTCTCACTTTTATTTTCCCCCCTCCTTTTTCCCAATTTCATTTTTGCACTCCTTTTTTTGGTCCCTACTTTTCTTTTCTTTTTTCTCTTTTATCTTTTTCGCTTCCTTCTTCCTTATCCCCTAATTCTCTTAATTCGGGTGGTCACCTTTATTTGGGGTTATTAATATCGTGAATGTATTTGTGTTTAGTGCCTGGTACGTGGTGCCTTGTTGTGTTGTATTTTGTGCCTTTAAATCAACGCAGCAGATCCAAGCAATAGCAGCCTCCTGAGCACCACACCCTCTGCTGAAGAACAGCAGCTGTACGTGAAGCCTCCCCCCACCAGCCAGAAGAGCCACCACAGCTGTGAACAGCACCCACCAGAGGAGCTGCTGCCAACTGAGGAGCAGCTGCTACCGCAACCGCCCAAAGAACAACCACAGACCAAGGAGACACTGCCACCCAGGGAGCACTGAATGACTCAACGTCTAGATATGTCAGTGAGATCAAACATGGGTAGACAAAGAAACCCCTAAAAGAAAGAGAAGGAAGACTCTCCAGAAAAGCAGCTAAGTAATACAGAGGCATGCAACATGACAGAAAAAGAATTCAGAATAAGGGTCCTAGAGTGCATAAACCGGATGGGGGAAAAAAATCAACAACTTCTACAAGAAGCAAGAAGAAACAGATGAAAAAGTCAACTACCTATGCAAGAAGCAAGAAGAAACAGATGAAAAAATCAATAACATATGGAAGAAGCTAGAAGAAACAGATGAAAAAATCAATAACTTAAGTAAGACCCAAGAAGAAATGAAGAGTGATATAGCTGCAATAAAAAACACCATTGAAAGTATCAACAGTAGACTAGGAGAAGCGGAGGACCGAATTAGTGAATTAGAAGACAAGGAAGCAAAACACACCCAAAATGTACTGCAATTGGAGAAAAAAATTAAAAGACAGGAGGAGAGCCTAAGGGAGCTTTGGGACAACATGAAACGAAACAACATACGAATAATAGGGGTGCCAGAACAACAGAAAGATGAA